TCTGCTCTTTCTCTTTTATCATGCCAAGAATTCATTAGACATTTATGACCATTTCCACCACAGTGGCTATTATAGTTGCCTTATGTTAGGATTTTCTGGGCCTATTATTTCTATCTCCTGGAGAGGTTTATCTTGTCTCCAGGTTTGATCTTGCAGGAAACCACTCTCAAAAGATTTCTCAATTGAGCGCATCTCTCAAGAGCTTATAGGACCCAACATCCTCTTTCTTTTCCACTTTGCCCCCTGCATTTCTGATTTTCATTTGCTCCTGATTTAGCAGCTAGACAAGGCCTCCCTTAAAATTCACAAAGTGAAGTTCTAGTAGAATCTTTGTGTGTGTTTGTGTTATTCAGGTCTCCATGGTTCTCTTGACAATAAAGATACTTTTTTCTTCTCTCTGAAAGCTCTAACACTTTAGACTTGAGCTTTCTTGTGTCCTTAATCCTTATCTGAGTTCCTTGTCCCTCCTTGAAGATGAATATAGAAAATGCTTGATATTACAATGAGATTGGGCAGGATACTTAACCAACTGATCATGTGTATTTATTTTTTTATTTTGTTATTTTTACTAAAAAAATATTTTTTTTAATATAATTTTATTTTGGTATCATTAACATACAATTACATGAGCACCATTATGGTTACTAGACTCCCTCCCATTATCAAGTCCCCACCACATACCCCATTACAGTCACTGTCCATCAACGTAGTAAGATGCTACAGAATCACTACTTGTCTTCTCTGTGTCTGATCATGTGTATTTAACCTTTGTTAACCCCCACCCCTGATTTTTGATAGGGATTGGTTTTCATTGAAGTTCCAGGCAATTTTAATGCCTTGAATATTCTTTGTTAACATGATGTTTTTAGAAAGCTGAGTGTCAGAAAGGCCCATTTTTAATTTATCAATCTCACCCTTGGTCTTAATATGCTGAAGCATACTTTACTTTTGAGGGCAGAATTAATCTTTTATCAGATGTACCATGGATGCTGCTGGTTTCATTATTTTATGAAAATGTTCTTGTGATTGTTTTAGAATTAATGCTACCCACATACCTTATTTTCCAATATCTATTCAGAATAGATAATGGAAGATACAAAGTAAGAGTCACCCATATTAAAGCTAATGCAAAGGAGATGTAAGTCACTGCTGTTTGAAAAACTAACAAAAGCCTGCCTTTAACTTACGGATTTCATCTTGCCTGTAAGGAAAGTGAATCTGAAACTTAGTCTATGATAGAGAATGGTTGGACCTTCTTTTATAAGCTACAACTTTGTGGAAGAGTGAAGAAAATTTTAGCACAATTACAAGAAGATGATTTTATACAAAGAAATGGTTTGGAGGTGAGGAGAGGTGAAAAAGGAATTTCATTTGCCCCTTTGCTTAAAGCAGGACGAGGTGGAAATGCCAAAAGCTGTCAATGTTACTTATTTGCAGCACTGGGGCCTCAAGCTTTCGCATGCCTAAGAGTTACTCAGGGGCTTGATAAGAATACAGATTCCTAGGCCATACAACTTTTGGCTCTGAGTTTTTAATAAACTACTTAGAAGATTCTAATACATACTGCATTAGCTGGAGAAAGAAAATCTGCAATTGGCAGTCTGGACACAGAGGTCAGCTGATAGCATAATTCTAATGTGAGTCCAACCACAGAAGAATCAAGAGAGCCGATGGTGTTTCCAGTCAGAGTCTGAAGGTAGGAGACTGATTTCCCAGCTTGAAGATATGCAGAGAGAGAGAGAGAGAGAGAGAGAGACAGAGGGAGGAGCCTTTTCTTTTTCAGCCTTTTTGTTATATTCAGACCTTCGGTGGATTGGATGAGTCTTATTCATATTGGGGAGGGTAATATGGTTAACCCAGTCTACCATTTCAAATGTTAATCTCATCCAGAAACCCTTACATAGACACACTCAGAATTATCTGAACACATTATGGCATAGTCAAGTTGACACATAGAATTAACCATCACACCATCCAAATTTGGATAATTTGAAGCAGTGAAGGGCAAAACCAGATTTCTTGAGAGAAACCTCATAAAGAGACCATTGTTGTGCTTTAGGAACCAATTGTGTCATTTTTTCATAGAAATAGAGAGTTGCCCCAACATTTTACTCAACAGTGAGAAGCTGAAAGCTTTTCCTTTAAGATTGGGAACAAGACAAGGATGCCCACTCTCCCTACTTCTATTCAATATAGTACTGGAGGTCCTAGCCACGGCAATCAGACAGCACAAAGAAGTAAAAAGCATCCAGATTGGCAAGGAAGAAGTTAAACTGTCCCTGTTTACAGATGACATGATATTGTACATAAAAAACCCTAAAGAATCTACTCTAAAACTACTAGATCTAATATCTGAATTCAGCAAAGTTGCAGGATACAAAAATAATACACAGAAATCTGTGGCTTTCCTATACACTAACAATGAACTAGCAGAGAGAGAAATCAGGAAAACAATTCCATTCACAATTACATAAAAAAAAAAATAGAATACCTAGGAATAAACCTAACCAAGGAAGTGAAAGACCTATATTCTGAAAACTACAAGACACTCATGAGGAAAATTAAAGAAGATACCAATAAATGGAAACACATCCCATGCTCATGGATAGGAAGAATTAATATTGTCAAAATGGCCATCCTGCCTAAAGCAATCTATAGATTCAATGCAATTCCTATCAAATTACCAACAGCATTCTTCAACGAACTAGAGAAAATCGTCCTAAAACTCACATGGAACCACAAAAGACCTTGAATAGCCAAAACAATCCTGAGAAGGAAGAATAAAGCAGGGGCAGTTACACTCCCCAACTTCAAGCTCTACTACAAAGCCACAGTAATCAAGACAATTTGGTACTGGCACAAGAACAGACCCATAGACCAATGGAACAGACTAGAGAGCCCTGATATAAATCCAACCATATATGGTCAATTAATATATGATAAAGGAGCCATGGACATACAATGGGGAAATGACAGCCGATTCAACAGCTGCTGTTGGCAAAACTGGACAGCTACATGCAAGAGAATGAAACTGGATCATTGTTTAACCCCACACACAAAAGTAAACTCTAAATGGATTAAAGACTTGAATGTAAGTCATGAAACCATAAAACTCTTAGAAGAAAGCATAGGCAAATATGTCCTGAATGTAGGCATGAGTAACTTCTTCCTGAACCCATCTCCTTGAGAAAGGGAAACAAAAGCAAAAATGAACTCATGGGACTACATCAAACTAAAAAGGTTTTGTATGGCAAAGGACATCATCAACAAAATAAAAAGGCATCCTACAGTATGGGAGAATATATTTGTAATGACATATCCAACAAAGGGTTAACATACAAAATATATAAAGAACTTACACACCTCAACACCCAAAAAGCAAGTAACCCGATTAACAAATGGGCAGAGGATATGAAGAGACAGTTAGTTCTCCAAAGAAGAAATTCAGATGGCCAACAGACACATGAGAAGATGCTCCACATCACTAATCATCAGGGAAATGCAAATTGAAACCACAATGAGATGTCACCTCACACCAGTAAGTATGACCAGCATCGAAAAGACTAAGAACAACAAATGCTGGCAAGGATGCTGAGAGAGACAAACCCTCCTACACTGCTGGTGGGAATGTAAGCTAGTTCAACCATTGTGGAAAGCAATATGGAGGCTCCTCAAAAAACTAAAAACTGAAATACCATTTGACCTGGGTATCCCACTCCTTGGAATATACCCAAAGAATACAACTTCTCAGATTAAAAAAGACATATGCACCCCTATGTTTATTGCAGCACTTTTTACAATAGCCAAGATATGGAAGCAACCTAAGTGTCCATCTGTAGATGAATGGATAAAGAAGCTGTGGTACATATATACAATGGAATACTATTCAGCCATAAGGAAGAAACAAATCCTACCATTTCCAACAATGTGGATGGAGCTGGAGGACATTATGCTCAGTGAAATAAGCCAGGCAGAGAAAGACAACTACCAAGTGATTTCCCTCATTTGTGGAGTATAACAATGAAGCAAAACTGAAGTAACAAAATGGCAGCAGACTCAGAGACTCCAAGAATGAACTAGTGGTTACCAAAGGGCAGGGGTGTGGGAGGGCGGGTGGGAAGGGAGGGAGTAGGAGACTGAGGGGCATTATGTTTAGTACACATGGTGTGGGGGATCACGGGGAGAACAGTGTATCACAGAGAAGGGACATAGTGGATCTCTGGCAACTTGCTGCACTGATGGACAGTGACTGCATTGGGGTATGGGTGGGGACTTGATAATATGGGTAAATGTAGTAACCACATTGTTTTTTCATGTGAAACCTTCTTAAGAGTGTATATCAATCATACCTTAATAAAAAAAAATCAGTACCACCTGGTTTAAAAGGATACACGCTTAGGGTAAGACATCGTGTCTTCTCTTGAATGCCTAGCACCCAGCAAAGTGTTTGCTTCACAGTAGAAGCCCAATAAATGTTGGTTAAGGATATATTGAAAAAAAAAGAAACAGAAAGTTGCCAGGGGTTGAGAGGAGGGGGCAGAATAGGAGAATGAATGCCAATGGGCATAGGGTTCCTTTTGGGGTGATGAGCATGTCCTATAATTAGATACTAGCTAAGTTGGTGATGGTTGTACAACCTTGTGAATATACTAAACCACTGAACCATGCCCTTTGTGATGGTGAATTTTATTGTATGTGTATTAAGTGTCAATAAAATGTATATATTAAGAGAGAGACATGAAAACATAGAGGTAGATAGTGTGGGCATCTTTAGTCATTTTCTATCAAGAAATAAAAAAAATGGGGTGATAGAAGGGGATGTGGGGTCAATGAAAGATTAAAAAAAACACAGGAGGTATTACAGAGTGTTTGTACACAGATTTGAATAATCCAATGGAAAGGGAAATATTAATGACTCAAGGTAGGGTAGAGGAAACTTGCAGGAGCGTAATCCTCCTGGAATGCCACCTTGGATAACTTTATTCATGTCTCTTCCCTAGGTGACAGATCAGTCGGTAAAAGCATTTGCTGAGCACTGTCCTGAACTTCAGTACGTTGGCTTTATGGGTTGTTCGGTTACTTCTAAAGGAGTCATTCACCTAACCAAGGTAGGTACCATGGCTACCTGTCTGTAGTGTTTCCAGGTGTCATTCATATCAGTGCCATAGCATTGTTAAATATAGTTGAATGAGGAATAGTCAGACCATTGTAAAAGTACACTGCTGTTTGATAAAGTTAAAATCAGTTTAAGGTAACAATACCAAATTTATCCTTTCTGAAATGAGACATTCATTTAAACATGAAGCTTGCTTTTTCGTTTTTCATCACTAATGACATAGACACATTAGAGAAACTGATATATGTGACAAGAGTTATTTAAATGTTAACTTTAATATATTGCATTTAGAAGGTATTTTGATTGAAGTTTTAACTGCTCACATATCATTAGGCCCTATGAGTATGAGGATTTTAAGAAGTGAATATGATCAGTGCATACATATGATGAAGTTAAATATAAAAAATGAAAATAGAGATGAATTTATGTCAAAAATTAACCTTATAACTCAGAGAGATCACTTACATACCAAATATATGAAATCTGCAATGAGAAAAATGTCAGTCTCTTTGTAATCCCTCATTTACATGTTATCTCTACTGCTTTTCAGAGCTCTAAAATAATTAGGAGCTAATTCTTATAAACAAGTAATGGAAAACTGGCTAGTATAAAAGTTATTTGTGTATTACCTGAAATTTGTCACTGCATAGATTTTAAGTGTACTGTATATAGTACTTGGGAGAGTGGATGTGAGTCTTGCCTTTTCCTCTTAATCACTGAGTAACCTTTTCATTCCACTTTCCTTCATTGCATTACTATTAGAAAACCGCTGCAAAGCAGCACAATGCTGAAATAAAACAGGTAAGATCCCAGGTCTATCTGGGTTTTCTCTACAGGTGTCTTTAAGCTTACAGTTTAGTGGGGAATAATGTTTTTTTTCCTTCTTTGGAGAAGAGCCAATGTTAATGAGTTACCTAGAACCATACCTGGGCTATGGCACTGAAGCCCAGTGGCTAGCAGCCTGGGTTCTCCTGTCAGCTTGAGTGATATTGCCCCTCCCACTTATTAGCTAAGTGGGCAAATTATTTTTTAGGGTATTAATTGAGGGAGTATATGCAAGGTGCTTGCCTCAGTATCAAGATTGCAGTAAGTGGTAAATAAATCTTAGCTACTGATATTAAAATAGATGCTACAATATTTAAATTGCTAGAAAATCAGAGCAAACCTTGAGAAAAATTAACAAATCACCATTTTAGTCTGGTGTATCTGAAACAGAGCCTGTGATTGTCCTGTGTCTTAAATGACTGATAAGCTGCATTGTATTTTGAGAATTACAGCCTAAAGCTAGTGGAGAGGATAGGCATGTTATCCTCAATAATTGCTCTGTTAGAACATCTTAGTGTAACCAAGATCATATGCAACCATAATTTTTAAAAATTCTTTCCCTATAACCTTGGCCTGAACATTAGATGAATGTTTTTCTCATCATGTCTAATGCTGTTTATAGTGTAGAGTAGAAATGCCTTTGGATGAACAGATTGCACACAACAAGTGTTATAATGACCATATGGATTTTTCTAATCATTCGAAAATGTACTCATTAAAGACAAAACAAGACCCATTAGATCAGTAAGTGTTTCCCTGAGCATTTTGAGATGGCCAGAAATTATCATACATTGGTACTTAAAAGATCAGAATTATTCTCTGTGACAAAATAGTAGCTACAGCGAATGTTTGCGTTGAAGGGCTCAGTTTGCTGAGAAGGTTCTTCTGAAGATTATGGGACAGAATTGATGATTTGGCCTGTCAGTAGTCAGAGTCTACGGGATTCATATCCAAGCTCGTCCCCATAGTTTTGAGGATCATCTTTGCTCAACAGTGTCTTTACTTTGATGAGAAGCCTGGTTTGTGGTATAATTATGCTTAGTTTCCTGGACTCTTAAAGGCAAGATAGCATTTTAAACATATATCACTTTTGAAAGATATTTTAATTGTTTTATCTCTTGATAACCAAGTGTAGAATTCAGGTGTTAATAAAATGAAAGTTTTTTTTGTTAAGATATTTGCAATTTCATGCTAAGACATTACACAAAATATAATCTGCATTCACAAAATGTTATAAATAGATAAATGCTCCTAAGTTGTACTATCTTTATTATCATCATAGAGTACAGTTTCTGAATAGTTTATTGCCATTGTGGTATGTAATTTTTAAATAAATGATTAGGGATGTGACATACAGCATACCTATCAGTCTAAATACTTAATTTTATGTGACCCAGAAAATCTCTTCAGCTTATTACTTTACTAAGTCTCTGGCTCTTACTTTGTTATAGAGGCAAATGGCATAAAATCTCTGTACCTATGAAGAGACATGTTTGAATTAGATGATCTGTCTCCTGAGTTTCTTGTACACAGAAGAATCTATGAATTTAGGAATCATAGACCTGGAAGAGATTGTGAGGAGCTCTACTTGAAAGTAAGAAATATCAAGTCTTTAGTAAGTTAGAAAGGAAAATTGGTGATTTGTGACATGTTAGATTGTTAAACCAAGGGCAAGAAGACAGAAGATTGGAGATAGATGCAGAATATTGATGCTCTATTACTGTGGTTCTATGGACTTGACTTTGATGTTCTCAGTCTTGGGTGGACTCTTACTTACTTTGACATGTTTATTGATGACATACCCTTCATCTCCAGGTAGATTCTGCTAATATCAAACAGTATTGGAGTAAGTGGCCTTCCTTGTAAGCTGCTATGAGTCCAGAAATAGCTAACAATGAGTGCACACAGATTATGAAGATTAAGTCAGGTTTACTCGACCATGTTTGGAAACTTGAAGGTTCATATTTAGGAAGCAATAATAAGAACTTCTGAGGTTTCCACTTAACAGTTAAGAATGTTATTGACTTGTTATATGTGGCAGAGTTGAGTCTCCTCCAACACAGGTGTGTTCTTTTCACTGAAGTATGCTTATTTATAATATTTTGCTCTCTAGCTCTCCTACTTTTTAAAAATAAGTTCAGCAAATGCAAATATTTGCCATTAAAGAGACTGGTAGGAACATGTCAAAAGGACCCAAAAGCCCACATGAAGTAGCTCCCACTGGCCTAAGTTGGGATACTTTGAGCATCAAAAAGGAAACTGGCTGCAGTGGGTTAAAGCAAACCAAATGTGTAAAAATCATGAGTTCATAATAATGTATACAAAACAAAACAGCACTGTATTTCTTATTCCAGCTAAGATGGAATAATAGGGACTGGATTTACTCTTTTCCCTGAAACAATCCAAAAAACCAGAGTGATTGTATGAAACACTGGTCTATATGACACTGGATATCCCTGAGATATGACTATAGTGACCCCTGAGATAGAAGCAAACAGAGGAGCCCCATGTTTGCCTCCATCTAATGCATTGAAAGAGTTTCCAGCTTACAATGCAGGGAGAGGTAATGCAGGCAAAACTCAGCAGATTATCTGAGTTGAAACAACAGAAAGTCCAGGGTATGAAGGCAGCCAGAGTTCAGAGGACAGAATACTGGAATAGAAAGAGCTGCATAGACGTCTGTGGATGATCTCCCTTGTGCATCTAGTCCTAAATAACCCATGAGTAAAGAGAAATCAAAAGAGAAATTAGAAAGTATTTTGAGCTGAATGAGAATGAAAACAGCGTATCATATTTAGCGTGATGCTGCTAAAGTACTCTTTAGGTAAAATTGATAGCACTAAATACCTATGAAAGAGAAAAAGAAAGGTCTCAATGACCTGAGCTTCTACCATTTGAAACTTGAAAAAGAAGAGCAAGTCAAAATAAGCAGAGGAAAGGAAATTGTAGAGAAAAAGGAGATTAGAGTAGAAATCAATGAAATAGAAAACAAAAAGAAAAGAAAAAATTAATGAAACCAAACGCTAGTTGTTTGGGAGAGACTGGTTTGGGAGAGAGAGAGAGGAAGGGAGAGAGAGAGAGGGAGAGGACACAGTTGCCAATATTTTGACTCAGGAGTGTCATAACTACAGGTTCTAAAGATATTAAAAAGATAACAGGGAATACTGTGGACATCTTTATGCTTATAAATTCAACAAATTGGATGAAATGGAAAACTTACTTGAAAGACACAAACTACCAACATTCACTCAAGAAGAAATGGATAAGGTGAATACACTTACATCTCTTATATTGCATTTGTAGTTAAAAATCTTCCCTCCAGTAACACTCCAGGCCCACTGGATTGCTTCACTGGTATATTGTAATAAATATTTGTTACATGTTAAAAAGTTAATCAGTAAGAGATACACGCTTGAGTGTTTTCTAGTGAAATGACACAATGTTTAGGGATTTGGTTTAAAATATTACAAAGGGTTTGATAAAGAAAGAAATGGGAAAAGTGGAATCAATAAAGGAGACAAAAATGCAAAATATTAACCATTGAGCTGGGTAATAGGACATGGGGGTTCATTATACTATTCTCATTACTTTTGTTTATATTTGAAAATTTCCATAATAGTAAAAAAGCTTTGAAGGGTCAAAAGTTTAAAATGTTGATATTAATTTAACATGATAAGAATCACACTATTCAATATACTTTTTAAGAATGCATAACATGGAAAATGCTGAGGATAATAATTAATGAAGATGTGTATTTACATGTAATATTAATTTAAAAATTAGTTTAATAAATAGGCCATGGGATGTGAAATTTCACAGTGGCAGGTTATTTTATTTTATTATATTTTTTGATTCAAGACAATTTACTTTAGCTATTATTTATAATGTACTTATTCTACTGGGCCCTTTATATTCAATGGTTATTTCTCACAACCACCAATCGAAAGAGTATTATTTATATTTTATGGATTAGGAAATTGAAGCTCAGAGAAGTTAAATTACTTGTGTGATCATATAGCTAACAAGTTGCAAAGCAGAGATTCTTTCTGAACACAAGTTTTACTCAATAATATGTTAAAACATTTTTAAGGTAGACAAGATTTGTTTAAAATTTTAAAAGTACAGTAAAAGAACAAATAATGTTAAGTAAATTCTAATCACAATATT